GTAAATCTCTTAAATAATAATTTATTTCTAACCCATCAATTCTTACGGTTGTTGCATAAAAATCTATTATAATTTTAATAAAATATTAGCAATAAATTACATTAGGTAGGTTATAAACTTTTTGGTCTGACAAATAGAAGGATCCTCTTGAAAAATAATAAGGTAGATACCAAATGAAAAGTATCTTACACAACAACATATATTTGCATCTAAAACTAATCTAATTTTAAATGAGATTATAGCAATTTTAGAATTCAGTTAGAATAGATACAGAATGGTGACATTATATATTCCAATAAATATACGAAATATATTTTAAATTATTTTTGTTTCATTTAAAATCCGAAAATTATTTCACAAATGGATAGTGAATCTTAGTTAAAGTGATTTATCTTATCGTGCTAATTAAGAACACATATTATTTATGTGTTACAGCTTTCTGGGAACTGTGATGTCCCCTTCACTATGTCACAAACATTTTAAAAAACTTAATAAAGCATTTCCCAATAAAGTGTGAAGATCTTACAAAAGTAGTTCACTGTGGCATTTCACTTTCAATTTTTTTGGGCTTTTAAATTGTATCTGTGTTGCTGCCACATTTGGAATGTTTGTTCCGCCTTCTGCTGCTAGGTTTTGTGTTGCACGGTAACCGTTTTTTCTGGGCACTTAAATTTTTTATTACCTGTAATAAAAAAAGATTAATATGGGCGTGTTGGGTGTGATTTTGTAATCCCAATGTTTGAAAAATGTTTATGTCTATTTCGTATATATATTCATTATAATTAATTTTTTCATTTATTTGTTTAAACATGAAATTGGTCATGTATCCTTAATGGATTATATGTTATATTGTTTATGCCTCAATACGTGATATGTTACTTGATATTCATTTGATTTACATTATATTATTGAAATTATTAAATGAATTTGAGTAGTTAATAGTTTGCAATTCATGTATTGAAATTATTATATGAATGGAGTAGTTAATAGTTTGCAATTCATGCACATGAAATATCTTTGACGATCTTTTAAATTTCTGGTAAAAAGGAAATCCACAAAAATAGATTATAATTGTACGAATATTTATTTCTAAGCAATTGATAAAAAAATTTAATTAAAAATTTGGAGTAGTATGACAGGAAAACTATTTTGAAAAGATATTTAATTTAAATATTTAATTCACTTTGTTAAGCTGAGAATTCATCTGTGAAATCAAACCAAAATGATAGCAAGACGAAATCTCTAAAAATGTCTAATTGCAATGAGAGACTAAGTAATATTAGTCAATGTCTTTACTTATAGAAATAATAATAGTATAATGTTTCAATAAAACAAACATTTTAAATTGCTAATAAAATACAGAGATCCCTAAACATCTCAATTCGCACAAAAACTGAGGTCAAAGAGAATATCACAGATCATGTTTTGGGTGGCAACAAGTCAATTACCAATTACTGAGAACATAATAGTCCGATTATATGAAATTCTCAATTATAACCTTCAAAACAGTAAAAGACCTGGAGAGTCATGCAACACATAGAACAAACAGAAAATTTATGTTATGACGGGGTCGACCGTCATATGAATGTCATATATACTAAGAGGTTAAATTTCTTTTTGAAATTTTAATTTCAAAGCAATGATGATGAATAATAAGTAGAAAGCGAAAACCATTTCTTTTGTCAAACTCCTTCTATAGGCACTTTACCATTCAGATAACCTAACAAAAAAAGGCAATAAAAAAGTTGCCAAAGTCCAACAACAAATAACGATCGTTCAGAAAATATGAAATTAGGACAGATATATATAGTAAAATATATTGACTGTACCCTAATCTAATAATTCTAGACGTGGAACGTATACCACACATCAGAACAATTTGAAATGATTAAGTTTGAAACAACAGTGTTGAAAATATTTCGTCCATCAATCGTTACTAAGAAAGGATGGGTAGGATAATAAAGCATGGTTATAG